TATGCTATCATCAGGTGTATAATATTGGGGCTACTGTACTGCCATTTTGTGAATGGTTTCCGAACCATACAATAGTCTCTGGTGGGGCCTCTCGATACCATGAAGGGTACTGCTATGGCCGGATCTCTGGACAACTCTCTCCAAGTTATTTATACATGCAACTCCTGTGGGTGTGTCTATCTCTCTGCCAACCAGTCTCCCACAAACCAAAGCTCACATAAAACCAATCAAAATACAAATGAACAAAACCATCAAACCCAACCTAAAAAAAACAAACAAAGTAGACACCTTGTATACCGTCTCTTACACCAATGTGAGAGGCCTACATTCAAACTTTCCAGAAGTACAACACCTTCTCCAATCTAAAACAGACCTCCCACTATTTTTTGAAACTGGTATCAATACCTCATTTGCACTAAAGGAGTTCATAGTCCTGAGCTACTCACCCCTCATAGCCAAACTAAATAGTCACAGCCATGGACTCAGAGTCTACATCTAGGATGAGTTTCCCTGTGGCAGGTACACAAAAAATGAAGAACCTGATCTCTCGTATATGTGCTTCTGCATGGTATTTATCCATAGTACCACCTTCATCTTAGGTCTCAACCATCCTCATGATGAAGGGATGGTATTCTTTGAATGAATATCTGAGAAGATTGTTAATACCCTCACTCAATTCCCCTCAGCCAGCTTTCAAATCAGTGGTGACTTTAACATCAAACATAAAGAGTGGCTAGTTAACTCCAACAAAACCAAGGCAGATATTGCAGAGACTTCTCTATTGCCTATGAACTAACCCAGATCATTGGATAACCTACCTGGGTCCCGGACACGACCTCTTCCTAACTTCCTGCCCTGTTAAATGCTTATCAAAAGTTTTACCTCCACTAGACATGTCAGACTATTCCCTAATCAATGTCCAGATTGATGCTAAAACTAAGGCATCATCTGATATACAATTCCATAGAATGATTTCTTGCTATGTGAAGGCATACCTTGATGCTATGTGAAGGCATACCTTGATGCTTTTCAATCCTACATGATGGAAACTCTCCTCCAACTTACTGCAAATGAATGTTTTGATTGCTGCTGCTGCTGCTGCTGCTGCAGTTGAAGACTTCCTGTCATCAGTCTTTCTTTCTTTATTAGCTGTTTCCATATTGTATTTATTTTTATGCTAGGCCTAATAAGGAGGACCTCATAGCCGAGCATATATGCTGATTCTTTCAGAGATTTAACTCTCAAGTGTTTTTCCTTGTCCAGTATTTTCACTTCATTCCACAGTGACTAATGATCACCTCTTTCTCCCCATACATGATCAGCCATGCTTGATTTCACTGTCTTACTATGGTTTCCTGATGTTCCTCCAGCCTTACTTTTAGGGTGTGGCTTGTTTCGCCTTTATCTTCTCTGACACAACTGCACACAAAATCAAGTTGATGCAATTCTTGGATATATTCTCTCCTATGTCAGGCTTTACTTAGTTGAGATTTCTCTATAGAATGGAACTGCTTCAGAATATTATCCTGATATTGTATGGACTGCAGATCTTCTGAATCTTTTTCTGATAAGCCCTTGACATAAGGTAGACAGACTGTAGCAATTTTCTAGTCATCCTCCTTGTCCGTTCTGCTCCCATCTAGAGACAATGATGTTCTGTTTGCTGGTTATTTGTTATTCTGAAGGGTACATTTGATGCTGATCATTTCTTGTTAGTATGTGTCTGGGTCGCCAATTTTTGCTTGGTGTAGTAGACATGAAAAAAATCCCTTTCTTCACACTGTGCAGATGGTGGAAATTGAAGTCAAGTTGTTGTCTGTTGAAGGTTGGACTTGTGATATATGGATGTTTTGAACCCATTGTTTGAGCAAGATTTTAGACATCCAGAAAGGCTAGCTGATTATTAATTTCTTCTTCCATTGTGAACTGGATCGAAGGTCTTATTGAGTTCACATGGCTCAACAATATTTGTACAGTTCCTGTGGTGTGACCAGTGTATGAAGGGTTTCATCTATGTATTTCAGCCATACTGTAGGATTTAACGGTGACATTCCTAAAGATATAGTATCATCTACATATATATTTACTAAGGACCTGAGAATGTTCTTAGATCATTAATATAAAGCAGAAAAATGATAGAACCAAGTAGAGAGCCTTGGAGAATGCAAGCATTGATCTCATGTGAATCAGAGGATTGGCCATTAATGACAACCTTCATAGACCCATTTGACAGGAAATGCTTGATAGCTGAAAGGATTCTCACAGAGATTCTAAACATTTGAGCCACATCTTATCAAAGTCCTTTGAGATATCTAGAATGATCAGTCTCTAGATACTTTTATTATCAAGTGACTCACTCATTCTATACATGATAACAGTTAAGACATCAGTAATAAATCTAAAAGAAAAAAACTAAACTGTTTGTTGCACAGGCATTTGTTTTTGTTAAGGTGTTCAACAACATAGTTCTTGATGATAGCTTCAGAAAGTTCGCTAATGACATTAAGGAGGCTGATGGGGGCAATGTTGTGATGGAGATGAGGTTTCACCTGTGTTCATGTACACAGGGCATACACTAGACACTTTTCATGGACTTAGGAATCATTTCTTCTGAAGGCAGCTTCACCAAAATTGGAGATAGTTCTAGATCAAAGTTCTTGAGAATAACTATAGGAATTTTATGAAGATCAGCAGTCTACACAGAGTCAAAGGTTTTGATAGTCTGGAAATCTCCCAAGCTGATATACAGATATCACCAAGCTTGTTCTTTGCAAGGTGGGGAAAGTCCGGTAAAGGGATGGTCATTGTTGTGTAATCTAGAGTTAGTGGCAAAGTTCATAGCAAAGAGATTAGCCTTATCCAACAAGGCTATTTGTAATAGAGAGCACTAACGATTTGCCTCCATTGTGTATTATACTAATGTGGGCATGTGTGTGTACATACCATATACAAACAGGATGTTACAAAATAAAGCATGTGTGAGGGAGCTAAATCAGGTGTTATAAGTGTGTGTGTGGGGGGGGTGCTAAATCAGATATTAGCTTTTAAAGATTCATGATTCTACATATTTTATATATTTTTTTAAGCTTTTCACCCCAAGCAAGGCAGGAGTGTCACTAATACACAAGGAGAGTAGGGAGCAATAGTAAAGAGGTGTGAAAGAGGAAAGAATAGAGAGAATGAAGGGGAAACTGTTCATAAAAATTAGCATTATTTAGATATATCATTTTTTATATATATATATATATATATATATATATATATATTATATTTTTTTGTTTTGATTTAAAATAAACAAATTTTTTGCTTTTCACTTGTACTTACTTTCTGGAATTAAACTGTTAGAAATTTTTTTTCCTGCATATAATACTTATAATATTATGGGAACATGGCTGAATGGTTAGAATGTTCAGTTTCTGACCATGAAACTCGGGTTCAAATCACACCATGGGTGATTTTTCAGGAAAATAACTTCTGAGGGAAGCAATCCCAGCATGCAGCGCATTTGGAAAATGCTAGGAAACCATATCACAGGTTGACCCAAGCCTTGTGAGTGAAACTAGGTACATTGAACTCCTTGGGAGCCATCAATGGTTGTGCTAGCATGAAGTTACAAGTCATCGTGACTGAGAGTTTGAGTATGCTGGCCTTGTTCAGAGTGTTGATCATGCTGGATAATTCATTCTCTCCCAGAAGCTGTAACTAAGGTTCATTCAGAACAAACAACAGGTGGGTTCTATGGGTGTTGAAGAAACACAAATGTGCCTGAGCAGTCGTCTGCAACAGGGATTGGCTAGTTTCACTAGTAGATGGGCATCCTTGGATACAAGTGGCCAGCTTTTATAATACTTATAATAGCTTTAGAAAACTAATGTTTAAAAAAATTGAGAATAAGTTCTTTTTTTATTTATTTTGAAAGATTAAAAGCAGTAAATGATTTCAAATAAACAATAAAGCTCAACTTAATAACATTGTCATAGACTGCGATCAAAAAAGACAAGGTTAATCTTCTGTTCAGTTCTTGGATTAACCCTGTGGTTTCCGACACTTCTCAAGGGTGCAGCATGATATTATCAAGAAGTCACCCCCTTGACAAATCAACTATGATATGATTTAAACCTGGATCTCATGGCCAGAACACTATCGTTCTAACCACCTAACCAACTGCCCATACCACCTCTCTCATGCAGTCGATGATATCTGAAACAGTAACTGTGTTGTTGATGAGAAGGGTGCCACTAAACAAAATGAAATATTTCACTTTGTTTCTTTTCTGACATGACACCAACTATTCTTTTGCCAAATGGGAAAACATTATGGTTTCCATGGATACCTGTAAATGTATTTGCTGTGAAATGACTCATGATTAGACCTTTTAAAACTGGCTTGGGTCACGGTAAGAAATAATATATTTAATACCACAAACCTTTTTTAAGAAAAAATGACAATAACAAAACCCATTTCTTAATAACAGTTGCATAATCTATCAGATTTAGTTAAGTGGTTTTTTTGGGTTTTTTTTTTTAATATATGGTGTTAGTGGGAAAGAGGGGAGATAAAATTTTACCTTCAGAATTAAAAAAAACAAACAAACAAATGAATCATAAAAATCCCTTTTGAATCATCTTGTTTCCTTTTATTCTGTAATATTTTATTTAAATTATTTTGACTGTCATCCTCACAACGTTTTGGTGTTGTACACTCCAGCCATTTTATGCTACGGCTTTCTTCAGTTGACTGGAATTTCAAACTAAACCCTTTATTTTATCCACCGGGGTAGATTGTTCTAGTTCCATGTGCCATGCCTCTCCTGGATGTTTCAGTTATTTTACTTTAACTCAACTCAACTCAACTCTCCAAGTTTTTTGGTCCACCACTGCTGTAGCCTGGTATTGAACTCACAACTCTTTGGGTCTGTCATTGGATCTAACCAATGCTTTTATCCACTGGACCATGTGTCTTTGAGATAGACAGGTATTTGTAATATTTTACTAACCAAAATGTCACTTTATCTATTTGGACTTATTCATATCTTCCTTTCTATTGATATCTACAAGTGAAAGTCAAAAATTATTTGAAATCTTGTTTTTTTCAATTGTTATGGTGAAAGTGTAGATAATTTTTGACTTATGCTTGTATTTTGGTTTATTTATATTTACATCTATCTATTTATATCTTTCTTTTTTTCTTTTTGCCTTCAGGCTTTTCTTTTGTTTTTCTTCAGGCATTCATTCCTTTTTTTCATTCAGGCTTTTTTTTTTCATTTTTTTCTTTCAGGTTTCTTTTCTTTTCCTTTAGACTTTCTTTTCTTTTTTCTTCAAGCATTAGTTCCTTTTTTTTTCCTACAGTCTTCCCTTCCTTTTTCTTTCAAGCTTTATTCTCTTTTTCCTTCTGCTTTTCTTTTCTTTTTTTCCATCAGGTTTTTTTTCTTTTTTTCCTTTAGGGTTTCTTTCCTTTTTATTTTAGTCTTTCTTCTCTTTCTTCTTCGGGCATTCTTTCTTTTTTTTTCCTTCAATCTTTCTGTCCTTTTTTTCCTTTCAGGCTTCATTTTCCTTTTTCTTCAGGTATTCATTCCTTTCACTTTCAGGCTTTCTTTTATTTTTATTCAGGCATTCATTCCTTTTTTTGCTTACATCTTTCCTCCCTATTTTCTTTCAGACATTCTTTTCTTTTTTTCTTCATGAATTCATCACTTTTTCCTTCAGGCTTTCATTTCTTTTTTCATTCAGACTTTCTTTCCTTTTATCCTTCACGCTTTCTTTTCTTTTTTTCTCCAGGCCTTCATTCCTTTTTCTTTCAGCCTTTCTTTTTTTTCTTCAGGTATTTTTTTTTCATTCTGGCTTTCTTTTCTTTTTATCCTTCAAGTTTTCTTTTCTTTTTCCTTCAGGTTTTTTTTTCTTTTTTTTCTTCAGGCATTCGTTCTTTTTTGCCTTCAGTCTTTCTTTCCTTTTTGCTTTTAGGCTTTCTTTTCTTTTCAGGCATCTTTCTTTTTTTTCTTCAGGCATTTGTTCTTTTTTTCCTTCAGGTTTTCTTTCCTTTTTTCATTTTTCTCTCTCTTTTCTGTGTCTAATGTTTCCCTTTTCTATTCAAAATCTTAACCTATTCAAGTCTTGTGTTAACCATTATCTTTCTTACATATCCTCATAAATTGCATGTAGGTTTCTCAGCTCAACAGTTAAAAATAGCTTTGAGCAAGTGACACTTCTGGATCTTGGTGAAGACCATGCTTCTTTGAACATTGTGGAATAACACTAAAGAATTACAAACACAGAACTGTGCCAAATTACAGAAACCACAACACTTGAGAACCCTCAAGAGCAGCAACAACTAAAATGGATAGCACTTCTCTCTGTCTGAGTATCTTTCTCTTTACTCTCTATCTGCTCCTATATGTCTCTTCCTTCTCTCTATATCTTTCTTTCCTCTGATAATCTTTCTCTTTACTCTCTATCTGTACCTATATATCTCTTTCTTCTCTCTATATCTATGTATCTTTCTTCACTTTGTCTATCTGCCCATGTCTTTTCACTGTCTGAGCTTGTCTTTTCTCTTTTTCTTTCTTTCTTTGCTGTGTTTGATTTGGTTTGGTTTGGTTTACAGCATATCAACCTCAATAGGTTATTTAATGCCAACAAAATTTTTACTGCTGGTAATATATTTTTCTTCAAAAATTTTTTCTGGGAATATTTTTCCTTGAAGAAATCTATAGCTGGTCATATTTTCTCAAAAAATGTATAGCTGTTTGTATTGCTGGTATTTTTTTAAAAGTATTGCTAATAATAATTTCTCTTTCAAAAATTATTGCTGGTAATAATTTTTTTATTACAAAGTATTTCTGGTATTAAAACCTATTTTTACATAAGTTTGGGTGTTAACTAGTTGCCTCAATGAATTATTTAATGCCAACAAGATTTTTATTACTGGTAATATTTTTCAATAATGCATTGCTGGTAATAATGCATTGATGGTAATAATTTTTTAGAAAAATGTATTGCTGGTATTAAAACCTATTTTTACCTTTCATAGCGTTTTGACCCCAGTTTGGGGGTAACTATTTGCCCATAGCCGGGACCCTAACAGGTGCTACCACCCCGGGTCAGGGTGGACCTGGGAATACCAGCAATTAAGAGGTGGTTCCACGCTCCTCAAATCTTCCTGATCAGAGGCCTTGCTGTTGGATGTAGTTTATTGTCTTATCCAAGACGCAGATGCAGTTTATTATCATACCGAGGACGATTCTTTGCTGCGTCTGTGCCTGTCTGTCTACATCTTCTCTCTGTCTGTGTATATCTGTATCTCTTTTCTTTCTGACAAACTTTCTGCTATAGTACCTAGACTTTATGAATTTAAGTGCTGTACTAGATTGGCGGCAAGGCCTTAACATTTTACAGATGAAATGGTTAGATGGAACCATAAATTCCATGCTAACAGTTTCTTCTATCACATTTCTTGCTTGTAGAATTCTCTTTTCTGGCTTTTTGCTTCCAAGTCAACTTTGATCTTCAAAAATTTGAATGCAATGTCAATAGCTATCTACTGTATTCTTTTATTGTCCTCTCTCCTTAATGGTAGTTTTTTCTTATTCTCTAACACTTAGTAACCTCTTGCATCCTAGTTGCTTGGGGTAAAATGATTAAAAAAATCAGTCCTCCCTTTTCATCTGTGTCTATGTGTTTCTCTCCCCACTGTGTGTGTCTGTCGGTTCATTTATTGCTCTTCTACCTGTATCTCTCTGTTTCTTCTATCTGTCTATATTGCCTTTTTATTCTCTCCTTGTATATCTTACTGCCTTTCTCTTTCTTTCTTTCCGCATCTGTTTTTTTCTCTTCACTTTCTGTGTCAGTTTCTCTCTATTTGTGTTTGTCTGTATAATTATTTCTCTCTCTCTCTATCTCTCTTTGTGTGCCTATCTGTCTCTTTCTCTTGTATCTGTCTTCATCTATCTGCCTCTCTTTTCTCTCTTTATGTGTGTGTCTGTCTGTCTCTTCTCTTTCTCTGGAGCTCTCTGACTCCTTTCTTTCTGTACATGTCTGTCTGTTTGTCTGCCCCGTCTCTTTCTCTCCATTGCAGTCTGCCTCACTCTTCTCTATGTCTAAATCTATGTTTCTCTCTTTGTTTGCATGTTTCCCACCTTTCTCTTTCTGTATGGTTCTCTCTATCTGTTTGTATATGTATCTCCTTTCTCTTTATTTGTGTCTTTCTTTCTCTTTCTCTTTCTCTTTCTCTGTATGTATCTATCTGTCTCTCTCTTTTTTCTGTCTACATTTATCTGTTTCTCTCTTTTCTCTTTATCTATTTGTCTGTCCCTCACTATCTGTATCTGTTTCTTTCTTCTCTCTGTCTGTTTGTATCTGTTTGTCTCTTATCTTTATTGTCTGTCTCTCTTTCCATTTCCAATATCTATCAATTTCATTTTTCTTTGTCTGTCTGTCTATCTGTTTCTCTCTTCTGTCTGTATTTGTCTTTCCCTTCTCTTTATTTGTATCTGCTTCTCTCTTCTCTCAGTATATGTCTAGCTTCTCTTTGTCTACATCTATCTGTTTTTTTACCTTTCTCTTTGTCTTTCTGTCTCTCACCTCTCTCTATCTCTATGTTTCTCTCTATGTTTGCAACTGTCTTTCCTTTCTCTTTATTTGTATGAGTCTCTCTTTTCTCTCTATATGTGTCTGCTTATCTCTCTCTACTCACTGCTTACATCTATCCGTTTCTCTCTTTTCTCTCTGTTTGTATCTGTCTCTCCCTTGTCCTTATTGGTGTCTGTTGGTCTCTCTCTCTTTCTACTTCCTAAATCTTTCATTTTCTCTCCTTTCTCTTTGTCTGCCTGTCTCTCTCTCTTTGCTCTCTGTATCTGTTTCTCTCTTCTATCTGTATTTATCTTTCCCTTCTCTTTATTTGTGTCTTTCTCTCTTTTCTCTCTGTATGTATCCATCTGTCTCTCACCTCTCACTATCTGCACCTGTTTCTCTCTGTCCATTTGTATTTGTCTCTCCCTTGTCTTTATTGGTCTCCCTCTCACTCTTTTTATTTCCTCTTCCTGAACCTATCAGTTTCTTTCCTTTCTCTTAGTCTGTCTGTTTGTCTATCTGTCTCCATGCTCTCTCTATCTGTTTCTCTCTTCTCTCTGTATCTGCCTGACCTGTTTCTTTATTTGTGTCTTTCTCTTCTCTTTGTATGTATCTATCTTTCTCTCTCTTCTCTCTGTATGTATCTATCTTTCTCTCTCTTCTCTTTGTATGTATCTATCTTTCTCTCTCTTCTCTCTGTATGTATCTATCTTTCTCTCTCTTCTCTTTGTATGTATCTATCTTTCTCTCTCTTCTCTTTGTATGTATCTATCTTTCTCTCTCTTCTCTCTGTATGTATCTATCTGGCTCTCTCTTTTCTCTTTGTTTGGCTGTCTCTCACCTCACTCTATCTGTATGTTTCTCTCTTATCTCTATTTTTATCTGTCTCTCCCTTGTCTTTATTTGTATCTGTTTCTCTCTTCTCTCAGTATGCATATATCATCTCTCTGTCTTCTCTCTCTACATCTATCTGTTTCTTTCCTTTCTCTTTGTCTTTTTGTCTCTCACCTCTCTCTATCTGTATGTTTCTCTCGTCTCTCTCTCTCTCTCTCTCTCTCTGTTTGTCCTCTTTCTTTTTATTTTTGTACATCTCTCTCTCTTTTCTCTCTGTATGTGTCTGTCTATCTCTATCTGTTTCTCTCTTCTCTCAGTATGCATATATCATCTCTCTGTCTTCTCTCTCTCTCTCTCTCTACATCTATCTGTTTCTTTCCTTTCTCTTTTTCTTTCTATCTCTCACCTCCCTCTATCTGTATGTTTCTCTCGTCTCTCTCTTTCTCTCTGTTTGTCTCTGTCCCCTTTCTCTTTATTTTTGTACATCTCTCTCTCTTTTCTTTCTGTATATGTCTGTCTATCTCTCTCTATTTGTTTCTCTCTTCTCTCAGTATGCATATATCATCTCTCTGTCTTCTCTCTCTCTCTCTCTCTACATCTATCTGTTTCTTTCCTTTCTCTTTGTCTTTTTGTCTCTCACCTCTCTCTCTCGCTGTATGTTTCTCTCTTCTCTCTCTCTCTCTCTTCTCTCTGTATGTGTCTGTCTATCTCTCTCTATTTGTTTCTCTCTTCTCTCAGTATGCATATATCATCTCTCTGTCTTCTCTCTCTCTCTCTCTCTACATCTATCTGTTTCTTTCCTTTCTCTTTGTCTTTTTGTCTCTCACCTCTCTCTCTCGCTGTATGTTTCTTCTCTCTCTCTCTCTCTCTCTCTCTGTATGTGTCTGTCTATCTCTCTCTTTGTTTCTCTCTTCTCTCAGTATGCATATATCATCTCTCTGTCTTCTCTCTCTCTCTCTCTCTCTACATCTATCTGTTTCTTTCCTTTCTCTTTGTCTTTTTGTCTCTCACCTCTCTATCTCTCTCTCTCTCTCTGTATGTTTCTCTCTTCTCTCTCTCTCTCTCTCTGTTTGTCTCTGTCTCCTTTCTCTTTAGTTGTGTGCATCTCTCTCTCTCTCTTCTCTCTGTATGTGTCTGTCTATCTCTCTCTATCTGTTTCTCTCTTCTTTTTTTGTCTGTCTCTCACCTCTCTCTGTATCTGGTTATCTCTCTTCTTTGTAACTGTCACTTCTTCCTCTTTATTTGTATCTGTCTGTCTATTCTCTCTCTATGTGTCTATCTTCCCTCTGTCTTCATCTATCTGTCTCTTTTCTTTCTCTTTTTCTTTCTGTCTCTCACCTCTCTCTATCTGTATGTTTCTCTCTTCTCTCTGTTAGTATCTGCCTATCTCTTTGTCCAGACTAAATATTTCTTGACGTGTTCCTTAAGGTTATTCGTTATGACTGACAAAGATTCTGTCCCTGTTGGCTAAAGAGTGTAACTCTGTGATAGCAACACAATGAGTAAGAATATCAATCAGATATTTCCAGTAAATTTTCTCATTATTAATTACCACATTGCAAAGTACAACTCAGCTCAGGGCAGACTTTCAAATAATGAGACAACCAATTTCTGACTTGAAAATTTAAAAATTCAATTGCCCATAACTAGAGGTCAATCTTCTGGATTTGACAAATCATAAAATTGAAACTGAGTCATATTAATGTCAGTTCAAATTTTACTATTATACATTGATTTACTTAAAGTTTACTATTATACATTGATTTATTTAATTTTTACTATTATGCATTGATTTATTTAAATTTTATTGTTATACATTGATTTATTTCAATTTTACTATTATACATTGATTTATTTCAATTTTAGTATTATATATTGATTTATTTCAATTTTACTATTATACATTGATTTATTTAAATTTTAGTATTATACATTGATTTATTTCAATTTTACTATTATACATTGATTTATTTAAATTTTTACTATTATACATTGATTTATTTAAATTTTAGTATTATACATTGATTTATTTAAATTTTACTATTATACATTGATTTATTTCAATTTTAGTATTATACATTGATTTATTTAAATTTTAGTATTATACATTGATTTATTTAAATTTTAGTATTATACATTGATTTATTAAAACTAATTAAAAAAGCTAAACAAAAATTGAGAACAGAATACCCTATTAGACTGAATAAGATATTCCGCTTAACATTTCCAATTTGGATCACACTGTAGTATCTGTTCATATTTTTTGTTTTTCACATCTCTTACACATGAACCCCTTATTCACAAGATTTCTGTTACCAGCAAACTAAGTGGGATTCTTTTCATGATTTTTCCTGCAATGCTCCTTGAAGTGAAATTTTTAACCTTCCTATTGAGAATTGAGTCACCGATGTTTCTTTTTGGGTAAAAACCAGCATTGATGCTTTTGTGCCAACCAAGATGGCAAATACATAGGCGAAGCCACAATCTTCTCTTTGGCTCACACCTGCCTGTTCAGCTGCTATAGCCCACAGGAATCACTTTTTCCAGATGTACTGACATGATAATTCTGATAACAAAAGGTACTTCTTTATGTTTACTCATAATAATTGAAAACGTATCCTCAGTATTTACTGACAGAATGAGGCAGTATATAGCATCTAACAAGTTTGGTTCTCATGACTATTGGCAGCTCTGTAATAGTTTGTTAAGTAAGGGGAAACCCTCTCTCCATCCTCTCTTCACTCAATTTGAAGTGTTATTATCTTTTGCTGATAAAGCATAATGTTTTGCTCATAAATTCTCTTCCAACTCTATTGACTTATCTGGACCATGTCTGATTTTCCAGTTAGAATTGAATTTCTACTGTGTAATATTTTTATTCCTTTAAAAGTTATTTTTAATGGATGCTAGTATTTGTGTAGGTGCCCCATTTATTTATTAAACAGTATATTTATTTTCATCAACCAGCTAGAATATTCAAGGAATCTTATTAAAGAAAAATCTGTGACAGGATTTGAACCTGCATCCCCCAGGGTATAGGGAGTTATTATTAAACCTGGCATGCTCTAACACAGGGGTCGGCAACCTACGGCATGTATGCCACATGTGGCACGCCAAGCAATTTCCAATGGCCTGCAACCACAAATGATATTACAAAGTCCAAACCAATAACTACTAGAACACAAAGAAGATATTTAGCTGTTTCAATTTTAACATATGCTAAAGTATATATACTATATATTACTATATAAAATATATTGTAGAACAGGTTTATTGACCATGACTTGTATAAAAATACGTATGTTGTTGGCACACTGAATAATTTTAAACCTAAGTCGGCACATAGTTAGCAAAAGGTTGCCAACCCCTGCTCTAACCAACTGAGCTATGGCAAACAGTCAGTCAGCCAAGAGAAAATTTTGTGTCTTTAAGCGAAACATCTCACTTCATAGATCTCCTGAAATTTTAATATCAGCACAATTTTGTATCCAAATGTAAACAAGAGAATTTTAGAATAAACAAATATTCTGTTTAATAAATAAATATTAATATTAATAATATGAGTATTCACAATAAATAAAGTTTATTTTTGCCTCAGATTAGGTCATTTGAAGTGGTGTGCAGTAATATGAATCTATTTTCGAGGTGTATAATGAAATTTGTTTGGCTTTGAAAAATATTGCGTCATCCATGATTGCATCAATTTTTCATCATGCCTAGACACTATTGTCTCAACTGTTGATTAGTTGTCCTACAGCTATTGTTTGCAATGGATATTACTCCAAGAAAGCATACAAAAATTGTAACGCTGCACAAGCACAATGGCAAGCCTTACCAGTAGGAAAATCAAAGTACTATTGACTGGCTTGGAAACTCTCCTGATTTAAATTCAATCAAGAATCTGTGGTCACTTAGTAAGGAAAGACTTTGTGGAATGGACATATGAAGTACTAACATGAGCACTAGTCATATTTCATTGGAAAAATATGAAAAAAAGTAAATAATAACGGAATTATTTGTTTTGTTTCAATTGATTTGCACCAGGGTGTACATATTTTTTTCTAATATGCGGACATTTAAAACTGCCTCACTCATTTATTTTCAATGTACCCCCTATCTTTCCCTTTGATCTTCCCTTTTTTATTAATCTATTTTCTATCTAGCCCCTAGTTTTTTTTGGTTTTTTGTTATACTTAGGACCATCCCTGCTCATATTTCTTCCTATTTTCTGATCATATTGTTTGTGAAACTGTATTTTTATTCCTTTCTAGTTTTACCATTTTTGGTGAATATTTTATTGGATGAAAGTCAACACTGCCTCAGAATCTTACTTGCCTAAAAGTGTTTATGGAATTGTCTGAGACATACACACATCTAATGAAAGCAGACATGCATTCAGACAGTTACAACTATTCTTCTTGTCTTTGGCATCTTTACTTGTTTCCATTTCATAAAGAATATTGTCTTCGGTAAAATTCTTGAATATTATTGATTGCATTGCTTTCTGCTCTAATGTTTTCTAAATTATTCGGTTATTATTAAAATGAAATAAAAAGAAATTGGACTTTTATTTTAAAAGTGCCAAGACAAAATGGAGAACTGAAATATTCAGGAATGCAAATATGATTTTGTTTTTGCATCTTTAAAATATATCACTGAGATATTTTTTTATTGCATAGAAGAATGTTTATACATTACACTGATAATAAAATTATATATATATATATATATATATTTATTAAAGACATTTTTATTATGTTTAACGTTAAAAAGTATTTAAACAAATGCTCTGTTTAATAAACAGTAAATAACAGTTACCGGACCTGAATTTTTTCATTTTAATGGTCAAGGCACGAACCTGCATCCTATGGCGGAACCGCCATATATGCAGACCACTCGTCCAAAACCTTATTAGACAAAAAATTTACTGTTCAAAACTAAATCTTCCATGATTTAATATTCATTTAAACAGAGATCGTAGAGAGCGAATGCAAAAAATAACAATTAAACATTTTGTTTTTAATCTTTAAAATATTTGGACTGAGATATTTTTTTATGACGCCATTTGTTTATACATTTAAGAGCAAATTATGAATGTATTAAATAACATTTACCTCTGGCAGATTGAAATTTATAATAGTAAATTGTTTTCATACAAGGTTACACTGATAATAAACGCCAGCGTATATATATATTCGAATATATAAACGAATATTTATAAAATATATATATGTTCAGGCCGTAAATGTTATTTAATACTGTTTATGTATTTGCTTAAATACTATGGACTATAATGGTCTTTAAATCCCTCGTCCATTTCTTAACATATAATATATATATATATATATATATATGTATGTATATATCATACCTATGGACTATAATGGGTATGTCCCAATTCCTATAAATATATATATGGTATATACTGTATGTTGTCTTCCACTTGGGATTCACTGTTGGATTTCACTTGTGATTCATCTTGATTCACTTTTAGCTCACCACTGGTAAATCTTGTATGTTCCTTCCGTTATAAATATTATCATTCCATTTCTAACCTTCATTTTGTCTGTTCTTATTCAGCAAGCCTTTCCTAGCTTGCAAAATATGTTTTTAATCATTTCATCCCAAGCAATGTAATAATGCCACTAAGACGCAAAGAGTTACTGAGAGTGGAAGAGATGGAGAAGACTTTAGTGAAGAGAAAGGACAATAAAAGAACAGGTTTCAGGAAGACAGAAGATAGCAATTAATGTTGCATTTAAATTCTTGAGGATCATAGTTGGCAAGGAAGCAAGAAAATTGAAAGAGTGCACCAGATGGGAAGTATGAGAAAAGACACTATTAGAATAGAACTCATGCTTACATCTAGCTATTTATTAGTAAAATAATGAAACCAATTTACCAATCTAGAAGTATGTGAGCTCACCAGAACAATAGCCATAATAATTATAGAAAAGACAAAGAGAAGCCATGTTATGGCAGTGTTAAAGAGACTGATGTCAAGATGCCAGGTTGAGACCAATAATATCACAGACCTTTCTTTGGATTTTGCTGGGAATTTCAAGATATATAGTTGGAGCATAAGATCAAATATAGAAGCAATATTCAATACACAGATGAATGGTAAATTTATAAAAGTGTAAGATGGATTCTGACAAGAAAAATTGTCTGGCACAGCAGAGTAACCAACTTTCTAGCAGCAGAACTAACAATTGATTCAATATAATCACTCCACTTCATGTCAGTGGAAAACTTGAGACCAAGATGGCACAGTAAGTTGCTCTCCTGAATTATTAGTATCAGCCATTATGATGGACGACAATGAAGGCTCTCTATGTTGATTAAAAGATAATAGTTTTATTTTTGAGGTGCTCAA